TGTGTGTGTGTGTGTGTGTGTGTGTGTGTTCTTGAATTTGCAACGTTATAACAAATTGTTATCAAGAGATTTCTCAGAACACTCATACAACCCTTTCTTGGATTCAGATCATCACTGAAAAGAGAGTGAAGACAGTTTAAAAATAATTACCACCTCATGTTTTGTCAATGACATTTACACAGTGAAATTCTCAGCTTCTCAACATTGGATGGACCCATTGTTTCTTTTGTTAAGAAGTGAGAGGACGACAAACTCACCCTCACTACTCAACTCCATTTAATCCAAATTTTCAGAACCAAAACAATATTGCATTAGACTTGGTCTTCAAGGTTTCTGCGCATGAGGATTTTTGTCGGATGACAGGTTAAAAAAATGCATTTGAAAAATACAGACTTGGTGTCAAAAGATGTTTATTCTAAATGAATTTACTCATCATAATAAACTTTGATAGTCTTGACCCATGCAATCTCTTTTCTGCAGCAACTGTCAATGCCTCAACACATCAAGATAAACGTGACCAGAAAAACCCTCTTCGAGGACTCCTTCCAGCAGGTGAGGTCAGACACACAGTTCACAGAACTCCAGCCAGATGTGCTTTTACTGAGCCTGTGGCTTTGTTTGACGCTCAGAAAATATGTCTCAGTAGCTGAAGTGATGTTGTCCTGGTCACTGCTCTTTTCCAGTGCACTTTAAAATCAGTATAATTAAGATGTTTAAAAACATCTTAAATTATGCGACTTCAAGGTTCTAAAAGTAAATCGGTGGTGTTTTACCTGCAGTAAATCAATATATGTATTTTAGAATAGTAATTAATTAAATTATAATAACAGTACATATTCCACAGGCAGGGGGCCACAGCCTAATGTCTTAAACATCTGCACTGCACTTATCAGCCCATTTGTAGTTTGACAACTTTCAGTTGGGACTATTTTACCTGGAATTGTGTCTTTTCGTTATTACTATTATCATTGCTATTTGTGAACAGGTTTATGAAAAGTGCATTTAGTGGTGGTCAGATATTTTAATTGTCAAGTAAGTAAATTAATGCAGGGAGTCATTTTAAGATAAAGCAGCAGATTAAATTAAAAGTCAGACGGTTGAGGTAGAACTCGGTGTGGGTGGTGCTCAGCTGGGGGCTTGTGAGTATCCCCCACTCCAGGCGCCTATGACCCTGGGCAACTTCAGATAGTTCATTCCCTTTCAGAGAGGTGACCTTCCATCTCTCTAAAGCTTGTTTGCGATGCCGGGGGTCCATCATTGAATGAAAAATGAAAACTGTTGTGTGATACAATGAGTGAGCCACCAGTCTATCATCACATTGTCTCTGCTTTAGATAATGAGCTTCAACGCTCAGGATCTACGAAGGAGACTGTGGATCATCTTCCCTGGAGAAGAGGGCCTTGATTATGGAGGTGTCGCCAGGTAAGTCAGAAAATGACTGAATATGATCTGATGATATGATATGATCCTCTAACATGTCATGAGTGAGCAACATCAGAGGCTGAAGGAAGTGGCCCCTGAACTGAAAGGCTGAAATGAAATGAGAGGTGTAGAGAGACTTTCTGATCAGCATCACCAGCTTGTCCTGCCCTTAATGCTGTCGCCTAGCAGCAGTTGGACACAACGAAAAGGTTTTAATGGCCCGTGGTTTTTAACATGTGTACCATTAGCTGTTTGGTTGAGATGAAGCATGATACTCGGAAGCATCAGACGTCTCATCGATTGCCGGCTCCATTACCTTTTTGAAAAACAGTTTCTCCCCCCTGAAAAACAACAAATATTGGGATAGATTGGGCCGGGAAGGATCCACCCAATTAGAACCTTTATTGTTCGTGATGAAATTACACATTTGTTGGCTGCATTTGAAGGAACCTTCAAAATTCTGTTTAGCTGCACAGGTGTGACGCAATTGGTCTTCAAATGCAGCCTCTGAAGGATACGGCCTGTGGCCTTTGTCTCATTTGTGTTGTCTCTTCTTCTGCAGGGAGTGGTTCTTCCTGTTGTCCCATGAGGTCTTGAACCCCATGTACTGCCTGTTTGAATACGCCGGTAAAGATAACTACTGTCTCCAGATCAACCCCGCCTCCTACATCAACCCTGACCACCTCAAGTATTTTAAGTTCATTGGACGCTTCATTGCCATGGTTAGTCATTTTATCATTTTGTAGTCAAAAGTGTTTGTATTTTTGTATTTGTATAATAACAAAATGGAAACGTGAAAGAAGTGTTTCTAAAGAATTTAACAGCTTTGTTCCTCTATCAGGCTCTTTTCCATGGCAAGTTCATCGACACTGGTTTCTCGCTGCCGTTTTACAAGCGCATCCTAAACAAGCCGTTGGCCCTCAAAGACCTGGAGTCAGTAGACCCTGAGTTTTACAACTCCCTCATTTGGATCAAGTGAGTACATAGATCACTGTGTGGTCCGGAGAGGTTGCATTATACATTTGTTTAACTACTGAGCGCCATTCTAGTTGAAACTTTTATACATACAAAGAAAAAGACAGGGATTGTGGTATTAATGTATTAGGCAAATAAAAGATAGATTTACTATTTACACAGAGACACAGGATTAAAAATGGGGAAATGTATTCATGGGGGCTTTAAGTTATTGTGCACCTCCTCTGTTAACCAGTTTCCAACATGATCTTATAGTGGTGAGTTGAAGGTTGAAGTGAATCAGGGTTTCTGCAAGGTCTTAAAAAGTCTTCATGAAAATAAAATGCAGATACTAGGCCTTAATTGTTTTAGAGACCTTCATAACATTTTAAAATTTGGGAGAATATTTTGCAGCATTCCAAGTTAGTAATGACTTTGGGTGTAGTTGTTTCTTAGTGATACAGATATTAGCACACTGTTTTAAAACTACAAACAAAACCAACATGGAACTGATAACTGATACAAACATCCTGGTCAGAATTGATGTCAGTACACTCAGCTTGGCTGTGAGAAAGAATATGGATACCTACCGTCTCTGCCTGTAGTTTGAGAGATAACATTGCGTTTTGAGGATTATTTTCTACTCGGCTACTTCACCTTATCTTCAGTTATGATGAAGAAAAGTTGTGTAACTGTCTGTGTCGCTCCGTAGGGACAACGACATTGAGGAGTGCGGGCTAGAGATGTTCTTCTCTGTCGACAAGGAGATCCTGGGGGAAATCACCACACATGACCTGAAATTAGGAGGTGGAGACATCCAGGTCACAGAGGAGAACAAGGAGGAGTACATCAGGTGGGTTTTTATTTAGATTCTATGTCAGTTTGGTTTCTTAGGTTAGAGTTGTACTTGAAAATTAAGTACACAGTTGATCTCTGTGTGTTTAAGTTTTATGAGGTGGATTGTTAGGTTTAGATTTAGGTTAAGGTTAGGCAAGTAGTTACTATGGTTAAGGTTAGAGCAAGTCTCCAGGAAGTTCATATGTGAAAGACAAACTCTAGAGAAAGTCCGGAGTTGTGTGGACATTCTCTGGAGTTCATGTCTGAAAACAGCTTCAGTAAACAGGCTGTCCTCTGATATCATGGAGACACGACTGTGTTTTTGTGTCTGTCCCACACAGGCTGGTAGCAGAGTGGAGACTGTCCAGAGGAGTGGAGGAGCAAACACAGGCTTTTTTTGAAGGCTTCAACGAGGTCCTCCCTCAGCAGTACCTGCAGTACTTTGATGCTAAAGAGTTGGAGGTTTGAACCTTAAAACTCTGTCATTCCCGTGACTCATGATGTGCTATGAGATGCACTAAAGACCTGAATAACACCTGGATTGCACAGACTGGACATTAACAGGTTTATGAGCTGAATCAAATGATGCACATGAAAATTGTAAATAACTTGCATCCTGTCACAGGTGATGCTGTGTGGTATGCAGGAGATCGACCTCGCGGACTGGCAAAGAAACTCCATCTACAGACATTATGCCCGCAGTAGCAAACAGATCGTCTGGTTCTGGCAGGTCAGTGTGCTGCAGCAGTAGTGATATGTTCAAACTTTTTTTTTTACTGCAACTTAGTTGTAAGGTTGGGTATATTGTTGGGGTTAAGCCAATTTGACAAGTTAAACCCATTGCGCCCTGAGATGAATTAAAAAACTTCTCTAAAACCTTTATTTTTCAGCCTCTGAAGCAGATTGAAATATTAAGTAAAAACCATTTGAGAGCTTAAACCTTTGACCTTTATTGGAAGTCTTTGTTGTTGCCTTTATGGCTGGATATGGCTGGAAAAAAGAACAATTATAAACCTTTCTAGTTCAGTACATTGTGTCTTATTTTCAGTTAGGAGAATGACCCCAGAAAAAGCAAAGCAAATAAAATATATTTTCAATTAAGCATAAGGGTGAAGCATGCAGACATCGCACCTCGTCCCAGTGGGTTTAATTAATATAAAGAGTTGTGAGTCTTAATTATATCATTATGTTAATGTTTTAGTTTTAATAATTAACCAGTGATTTAAATGAATAGGATTCTCTCTCATATTTGAGTGATGTAATGTTCTATAAAGCTCGTCAAGCACAAGCACGCAAACAACCAAAGTGACAGGTTGAGAGATGCATCTCAAAGATGCACTGGATTGCATCTTCGTGATCTCCCTGGAGTCATCAGAGGTTTTGGTTCTGTCAACATCAGACCCCCTCACACAGATGACCCATCCTGGGATGATCAAGTCCCAGTCTTCATCCCAGCAGCAACAATCCATGGGCTTGCTCTCTTGTATGTAGCCCCCCTCTTTCCAGCAACCCCCTGGCCTCTCTCTTCAGTGGTTCACAGAGAGCCCACCAGCCTCAGTTTTCTGCACTGCTCCTGCTTTTTGGCAACCTTCCTTTCATGAACCTCCACCATGTTTTCCTCCCATGGAACGGTCCCACATGATCACCTGCTCGATGAAGATGGAGAAGTCCGGGCGGAGTGTCGTGTTTGTGTGTGATGTGATTAGGGAACTTAAGTTGTTTTCCAAGATCCACTCTCAGTTGCCAGTCTGAGGTTGTGGACAGATGGCACGGTATAGTCTGTGGTAGGGGGTGGGGCTTCTCTCCAGCTTTGAGGAGTAGATTGTAGAACTGTTTGAGGAGGATTCACTAATGACACAGAATCATTCTGAAGTAGCTCCACAACATTACCACAGACCAGGAGAACAGCCCATTCCAAACGGGCAGGTTTAGAACGAGCACTGCACTAGTTATCTAGTACCCCTGTCGGTAGTAAGGTGCCAGTGCTAAGTTGTGACTTTGTACCGAACATTATACCCAAGTAGGTATTTGAGATTTAGAGAAGTTCATGTTTATACTTCATGCTTTGTAGTTTTTGGACTGTGCTTCAAATAGGCTTTGGAGTATTTGTGTGTCCAATATACCTGTTTTATGTATAAGGTATAAAGATACAATAATTCTCTTTATACAACTTATCCCCACTTGTGTTTCTTTACATGTGACTGATTTAATAAATAATGTAATCTGTGACCAGGAGACATGAAAGTGTTTTTAAATGTTTTTGTCTCTTCTCCCTGCAGTTTATCAAGGAGATGGACAATGAGAAGAGAATGAGGCTGCTGCAGTTCGTCACCGGTACCTGTCGCCTGCCTGTAGGAGGCTTCGCTGACCTTATGGGTAATTACAGCTAAATAAATCATATATAATTCCATAAAATGCACCTAAAACCTGTGTCTGGTTATGCTCTATTCTGTTCTGAATATTGTGGGAAGAAGTTGTCTTTTATATGACTGATTCATAAGTGTATGAAACATCCCCAGTCCTAAGCAGGTTGGTAAGGAATATTTTAAAAGACAATTTAATGCAGTGTTTTTGATGCTTTTCATCACATTACACTGATCAGTGTTAAAAAGCTTCTAAAGAGCACTTGGACGTTATTTTACAGCACTTACTTATTTAGTTCGTCCCAGTTTTGTTGATTACCATGTTGCGTTCAATCAACCAGGGTCGCTCACTGTCCGACTGACCTGATCTTCATTTTACAGGAAGCAATGGTCCTCAGAAGTTCTGCATTGAGAAGGTGGGAAAAGAAAACTGGCTTCCCAGAAGTCACACGTGGTGAGTTCATGCGAACGACTGGAGAATGAAAAGGATGTTAAATCATTGTTGATCAAAGCGCTGAAGGTGACACCTGAATCGACTACACTGTGGTCTGACCAGGCAGGTTTGAAGCAGGCTATTGTAGGATGTTTTTCTTTGGTTTTGGTTTGTTGTTAAAAGTCAGTACAATGATCTACAAGAGTAGGGTGAAGGCCTTGTTTGCTGAGGTAGTGTGTGTTACTGGTGTTTGCACAGTGTTCAGGCACATACCGATTCTATTACTTGCCCAGCGGCCACGCCTTCTTTCATTTTTAAACTTGTTTTATCGTTCATCAGTGGTAGCACACACACACACATCACCAGTTACCAGAGTAACAGTCTTATCACATGATGAGAGAAGAGTTGACGGACGAGGATGATGAAGATTTGATGTTAAAAGATATTTTGATAATTATTGGACATGCCAGTTCGTTTGAGACAGTTGTGCCAGGAAGGAACGCATTTTTCTGTCTGAACTTGCTTGAGAGAAAACTAACTGAGCCCGATCTGGTTCTCTGTGTCTGGATCAACCTGAGTCTGACACACGTGGTAATTGCTTGTTTTCCCCGATTTAGTGTAAAAATTCAGCCTGGCCAACGTGACCGACCGATCCTGAATATCATTTCAAATACTTGTCTATCCCCAGCCCAGCCCGTTGGGTCCTGATGGGCTCGGGTCTGGGTGTACACACTCGAGTTTGAGAAAGAGAGAGAGAGAGAGCGATGCAGAGCAATGTGCACTTTTACAATCAAGCAGCACCAAACAATGTAAAGATCTGTTATGAAATTAGGAGAAGTTGACCATCATAGTCTGGGTAATTAAAAACTGCACACAGCTTCAAGTGCAGCAGAAGAGTGAAGCTGTTCACAGTGAACTCTAACAGACCAGGTGTAAACACTGTACAGACACTGAGCCAACACACATCCTCTCCTGTTTGGTGTAATTTGTATTTCTCAAATCATATTCATAGGTAATCCAAAATAAGCACCAGAGCAAAACAGTTCTGATGTTGAGCTGACATTTTTTTTATCTTACTTTCTCAGCTTTAACAGACTGGACTTGCCGCCCTACAAGAGCTACGAGCAACTAAAGGAGAAGCTGATGTTTGCCATCGAGGAGACCGAGGGCTTCGGACAGGAGTGAGAGAATCCAGGAGAGGTTTAAGAGTGGGTGCAGGAGTCTGAAGGAATAAACGCCACCAGTGTTCAAATCAGGGAGACTCTTCAGAGTCGGGGGAAGGGTTGGTGTCTGTGTTTATGCACATGCATGCAAGCACCTGTACGGTACTTCTGCAGGTGCATCTGCAAGACTGCATGTCGTTGCACAGGAGGATTTTGGAAGTGGCTGTCTACCGTACACACCACGTTCATAGCAGATGTGAAAATATTATATTTCTTCGAAACCAAAACACAGAAGCTGCTCCTGTCTCTCTGAATGTGTGGCAGTTTATGCATGGGTTCCTGAAAACTCGACCTCTGCGACATCAGTCTGATGGGACCGCAGTAGTTTTCCCTTCCACACTCGTGATCATGTAACGGCATGCAGTCAAGTTCTCAAATCTCATGAGCAGCAACGTGATTTTTTTTTCTTATAAAGTCGCTTGGCTTAAAGACAAATTTTAAAGCAAACTTGTGAGAGTGCACTTCTTTTAAAACTGGAAAACGTTTCACCAAAAAGTTTATTCTGTTGCTCTAAGATAGTTTTGGGTTTTTTTCATCATGAATGACATTTCCCGTCATCCTCTTTGCGAGAGTGCTCCAAATTAACACTTAGATAACAATGTTCGTGCTTCAGAAATTATGAGTTAGGAGAGAAACAGATTTGTGTTCCTGCTTCTACAGTGTTGTATCTGTGAATGACTTGATTGTGAAAAGTGTTGTAACCTCCATTATTTATAGTGGTGGAAGACTTGAGCAGAACTTTAACTGACCCTAGTTTTATAGGGCCAGAGGCTGGACCGGACGAGACGTCTTAGATTACAGCGCTCTGGGAGAATCTTCTAGATTATTCATTTTAATATCAGCTGCAGACATTTTACACCATCCTCCTGTTGTGTTGTGTCCTTGTGAACCAATCAGGATGAAGAAAGTATTTTTAGACACAATGTGAGTTCAAGATCAGAACATTAAAGCTTTTCAAAAACACTACAAAGTGGAAAAACACCAAATTCCTGTCAAACCAAATCTAAAAGAACATTTTGATTCATGCTTAACAAGCAGAAACTTCATGTGGCTCTTCACACACGTGTAGAATTTGAAGGTTAGTGATGGGGATGTTTGCTTAGTTTAACTGTTTATGTCTCATATCAAACCACAAAATTAACAGGAGCAATAAATGGTACTGTCAAACCATTGTCTTCCAATCTGAGTATTTTCACATCTAACAGTCAAAATTCCTCTTAAGTAAAAATGTAATATCTGACACGTGTGGAATGATAAAATGATGTGGTTGTGCTTTAATTTGATTTTAATAGTTAATAGTTTTCAGGTTGTAGGACTCACAAGTTCACTTTGATTTAAAGATGAACTGATTCGATTTGGGAGGTCAAAGTTCAAGGTCACACCTCGCAAAACTTTTTTTTGGCCTCTTGAACATGCTTCATCATGAACCTGCCTTAGAGAATTTCTTCAAATTTTGACGAGTGGTCACTCGGACTCAAAGATAATCAATTCGATATTTGTGGTCAAGGTCACAGGGCCCTTATATGAGTGACGAAAAATAAAAAAGTATGTAAACCTAAACTGGAGTGGCTGGCGGAGGCATACGACCACAGTTGAACATGTGACGATTTTTGATAAAGATTGTTTGTTCCTCAACACCCAACACTGTGTGTGTACAGAACAGTGTTTATAATACAATAACTGTGAATACTGGTTCTGTTTGGCAAACGTTAAACAGCGTCTTATCAACAGTACCGGTAGTGTGCGTGCTCATTTTGGAGTTTCCTCTTGAATTATTTATTCGACCAAGGACACAGGTTTGGTTACAGCTCTCAGCCTTTAGGAAGCTTTATCTCCACCCTCAGGCATCACATGTCTTGTTTCAGCAGCTTGATGTGAGCAGACGACGACGATGATGATGATGATGATGAAGATGATGATGAACCTTATGGTCAAAATAATTGTTCTAAAACTGCACTAGTGAGGAAAAGACTTGATCTGATGGCATGTGGCCTGATTCTCTGTTAATCCTGACTCTATGGAGGATAATGAAGTCAGAGACAAAGTTGTGATATAACGAATGTACCATGATGATATGATGATTGCTAATCTCATTAACATTTTTTCTTGCCCCCCCTAACAGAGTGTGGTTTTTGTTATAGGGTCAATGACATAATAACATCCTGGGTATATAGTAGTTAAGTGAATATGTAAATATGATAATTCACTTTATTTATCTGTTCTCCAGAATGTTCCATGCACAACTCAACCACTGTCTCTCTCCTGTATATTGAAAACAAGTTGTAAATGGTGTCAATAACAACAATTTCTTTTGTAAAAGAATGGTTTTAATAAGAGGTTTACGGTAACTCTATATTTTCTTTTCCCTGTTTAATTTCTGATGTACATGAAAGATGTGTAATATAGAAATTGTCACCTTAATAAATTAAATCAAAATAAACTGTTATTTATTGTCCTTTACTCTGAGATCAAGATGTGAAGATTTCTATTGGTATTATGTGATTGCACAATAATGGGTCAGGGAAGTGAGGAACAGTCACAAATCACTAAGGCTGACAGCAACTTAAATAAATCACTATTATTATATTGTTTGTATTAACACATTGTGGAGGACATGTAATGGGACATGCAAGCGGGTGATCAACGGCTGCAATACTCAATCTGACACGTTTGCATTCAGTGCTGTGCCACATTTTGTGTTGCATGTTTTTGTTCTTTTGTTTTGAGTCTAATCAGGTTCAGTGTGTTTGGTGCGTGCACGAGGAATCCCACAGGAGAAGGAGGAGCGAAGGACCCCTCCCCAGCACAGGAGTCAGGTATTTTTAATCTATAATCAAAGCAAACTCATTGGTCGCTGTCACTGTAAGGATAAGAAAGCAGAGAGGCCTCGTCCTCTTGTTTTTACCTTCCCAGCCCGGAGCCGAGTGGATCACTGGACAGTGGAGACAGCTTGTCCAGATATCTGTGGACCTGGAATGTTTCTGACAGGAAAGTTTAACTCTGTTCTTTTAGGAATAGCTTCATCTACCACAAAGAGCTCCTCCTCCTCAGCGTGATGTAAAGCTGTAACATTCAGTGATGCTTCAGTGTGTGGTAGAATCTTTCTAAAAACAGGATTATTACAGTTGTCTTGATATATTCTCTTCACTTAAATTATCATTAATACACCTGATGTTGCCTCATACTAGAAATACTGCACTGGGCTTGTATGCCTCCGGAAACCAGTGCAGCTTCCGTCTACAAAGGTTTTTGTCCCAGATTCACAGAAGGTCACTGTGACCTTTGGCCACCAAAATCAAATCAGTTGATCCTTGAGTCCAAATGAATGAAGACATTCCCTCAAGGTGTTCTAAAGATATCGTCTTCTCAAGAATGGGACATTCCTCCAGCCACTGGCTTTCACCAGCACAGAGGCATTAATAGACTTTATAGATTACTTATAACCATTAGAATTGTAATCTGATCTGAAATATTATGCAATAGTTAGGCTCTACTAATGATGGCTTGGATATAGCCCTTGTTAAGGTGTTTTGAGCAGCTGATCATTAAAAACAGTACAAGAGTCAGAGTGGAACTTTAGCTCAAATAAAAACATAAAAACAACAACTTAAAGACATTAATTCACTTGTAATAATTTAATCTTTGCTTCATAAAAGTAGAGAAAGTAACGTATGACCCTTAGACACGGTCCTCTGGTTGTCTTGGCGGTACACATCTAAAAGGTAGCATATTCCACATGTTTACGATAAAATAAGTAAAATTTGTGCATAAAGTTTAAATAGCGTTTTAATTTAAAACAAATAATTTCCCAGACTCACTTTTTATATTAAATAATGTAGAACTGTGTTTGTTCAATTGTCTGTGTCCAGGAAAACGTTCAAAGCGCTGCTTCAAACTACAGACACGGCTGCTGCAAACAGTTTTGGCCGTTGCTCTGAATCTGCTCCAGTGCATCGCTGCCATGTTCCATTCCGTCATCTTCCTCCTCTTCTTCTCTTTCTGTCTGTGCTTCCATGGTGGTGAGAGACATGGCAGCCTGACAACCCTCGTCAGTCCTCTCCTGCTCTCCCTCCTCGTCCTCCTCCTCGTCCTCCTCCTCATCATCCTGTCTTTCCATCTGCTCGTCGCTGCCCTTTAAGCTTCCATCTTCTTCCTCTTCTTCATCGTCCTCATCTCCCTCAGCAGTGCCTGGCCCCTCCGCATGTCTTATGAACCCACCACACCTCCCATCATCCTCCTCGTCCTTCTCCTCTGCCATCGACGCTCCTCCGAGCTCGCCTCCCTCTGCCTCTCCGGCACCTCCTTCGCTTCCTGTCCCATTCCCCGCCGCGGGACATTTGTGATCTCTGTAATAGCTGTGCCTGGTGAATCCCTTGTTGCAGGTGGAGCATCTGAAGCGGTAGTTGTCTGTGTGGGACTGCTGGTGCTCGAGCATGTGAGCCCTGCGGCTGAACGCCTTTTGACAGAAGAGACACTTGTAGGGTTTGATACCTGGAGAAGAGGAGTTTATCAAAATCTATATATAGAGGGTTACCTACACTGTGTAAGATAACAGTTATTCCTACTTGCGTTACAATAGTGTTTTTTTTAATTCAACGCTACATTACATAGGTTGTGCCTAAAACAGATATAAAACTGCATACATGTGAGTAAACTGTTCCTGGAGGGGATGAGGCTACATCCATGCAACTCTTCTACAGACGACATCCTCACTACTCCAGCTAAGACTGAAAAATTGAAGCCATTTTAGTTTGAAAACTCCAGATGTTTGGAAACGATGCTGGAGACACAGCTGATTGGGTCTTTTCTTGTCCATGACGCAGCATATTCATCAGGCTCCTGTCACATGACCCCCTCCACAGAAACAACCAGCATCAGCCTGGACTACCAGTGTAGAACACAACATGGATCTTTAATTACAAGTGTTGCTGAGCCTGTTGTCTTTGCAAACAGCTGATATGCAGTTACATTTAACATTTCACTTGTTGCCATTGTTTCTCCAGGTTTGTAGCTGAGCTCTTTCTGCAAATAACCAAATACTGTTGACATCGTGATGCTCAGTGTACATGAGTGGTCATGTGTTAGTATGGACAAATGTATACGCGTGTGTAGACAGATCATTTTAGAATGTAGTAGTAGTATTATGGGTGTATCCTTTGTGTAAATAATTCGCAGCTTTATTGACTCACCAGAGTGTGACAGAATATGAGCCTTGAGTTTGTCTGGTCTGTTGAATTCTTTGGTGCAGCCAACATGTGTTCTGGTGAGAAAACACAAACGTTAGCACAGCATTTAATGGAAAAGCCTGTAACTAAGACTGTGAAAGGAAAAAATCAAACAGGTACACAGCAGAACACGTGAGGAGGAAAAGGCAGAACAGACGGTTGTAAGAGAAGTTGAAAAGGCGGAGAGAGGAATGAGTTAAATAAGAGCGACTGCTTCCGTGAGTTCACCTGAAGGGACACTTGTATTTCTTGAAAGGTTCGTGGATGAGCATGTGTCGCTTCACTTTGTCCTTCCTGTTGAACGTGGCTTCACAGAGGGAACACTTGTACGGCTTCTCACCTGGGAAATGGAGCAGATCTGCTGTGAGGAATGAATTATACTGGAGTCGCTTTCGATTATTTGATGTGCAAATGTGACAAACTGTGAGATTCATCAACTTTACATTAATCAACATCAATCCATACACAAGGTACATTTACTTTATTTATTTTCATGTATTTGTACTTTACATAAGCAGATTTATTTTATTTTTCAGACTTAATCAATTAGGAGAGGGGAACTGATCCAATCACAGTGAGCAGGTAACGTTAGGCCCCGCCTCCATCAGTGGTGAAGAAATAACTACTGTAAAATAGATTCGGTTGAGGCCGAGGATCAGTGATAATGATGTAGTACAGCTTTGCATTGGGGGTTAAGCTACACTCAGTACTTCAATACTTAAAGTTCATTTAAAACAGTCCTTACTTTCACTCTTCCATTTATTTATTTATTCTTTTTTATTAATAAAATGCTGCATACTTTCTCCACCACTGATTTGAACACTACATCCTTGTTACTGAGCAGCCAATGAGGCCACAGTGTTTACACACTAACACTTTACCTGCCAAAACAATAAATATAGCAAAGCATCTGCAACTGTTTGAGCTCAGTAACTAAGGAAATGCACAATTGTGTTGCTAAAAAATAAGTGTTTCAGACCTGAGTGAATACGAGTGTGGAGTTTGAGGTAGTGCTCCGTCTTGAAGGCCTTCTTACAGATCTGACACTTGAACCTCCCGCCAGCGCCATGAGTGGGGAGGTGGCGTCTGAAGTACCTTTCACACGGAAACACCTGACAGCCCCAGAGAGAGCAGATCTGATCAGACACTGCACCGAGACGTCAAAGGTGTAAGGTTTGTGTGTGTTCACATCCGTGTGTATTCTACCTTCTGACAGTGTGGGCAGGGGAAGTTGTGTGAGGCGGTCATCAGATGTTGTTCCAGTGCCTCCTGGGTAGAATATCTGCTCTGACACTTCACACACCTGAGAGGAAAGACAAAAAAGAGAAGTGTGGTGGGTTTAGTTGAGATCAATGATGATTTATTGGAGCAGCCGACCACATTCACATACAAACAGAACAGAGGGTCAAGTGCAGTCCGGAGGCAGGAAGTAACGTATTCATTTTGCTGCAGAGATCAGTGATTCTGTGATTTGTTTGGATCTGTCTCATGTTAGAAGCATCATCAACACCCCCACTCGCTCGCAGTGGATCCAGCGGGGGATCCCCTGCTGTGTTCTCACATCAGATTCTGCAAACTTTCTCTGGGCTTTATACTATTGGAGCCAGGTGGAGAAGGTCTGCAGAAAGTCTCTCACTCTGACATTTGTGTTTACACATACAGTACATGTCTCTGGAGTTCAGTGTGTGTCTGTGAGCATCTTAAAGGTTCAGTGTGTACGATTTAGGTGAAAGGGATCTATTGGCAGAAACTGAATATAAAATAATCTGAATGATGTTTTCTCTCTGTGTTTCATCTCAACTGTACAAATTTTCTTTACCTTAGAATGAGCCCTTTGTATTTAAATACTTTATATTAACACCAGTACAGGGTCCTCTCTACGGAGGCCGCCATGTTTTTTCACAGTAGTCCAGAATGGACAAACTAAAACCTTTTGAGTTTTTATAAAACCTGAAGCTACCACAGGTTATTTCATGTTTGGAAGGGGAGGGTGAGGTGAGGGGTATTCAGCTGCAACATGCAATTTCACCACTAGATGTCACTAAATTCTACACACTGAACCTTAAAGATTTGGTTTTAGTCTTCATATTTTTACTGTTCACGCATGTGATTAACACAAACATCAAAACAGTGTGTTCTCTGTATTTTTCAACCTCCCCATCATTCAGTATTACTGAAAATAAAAAAACTTCAAAAACCTGAGATTAATATAATTACATTTTTCAAAAAAAGGGAAAGACAGCTGGGAGCTATGGATTTGGGTAAACGTTACTCCTCCAGGAGTAAAGCATGTGAATTCCCCGTGTTTATGCTATAACTGATGTGTAATCGATAGTTATGGGTGAGTGGCTGAGCTGACCTGAAGATGGTGGTTTCTTTGCGTGTGTTCTGCTGTGGGCAGAAGCAGTGGGAGTACTGGTGGACCCCCAGTTCAAACAGCGAGGGGAACACTTTGCTGCAGAGGTGGCAGCGGTAGGTCAGCTGCTCCTGGTGCGTCCTGATGTGCTCCAAGAACTGATCCAGCTTCTGGAAAGTCTGCGAGCAGGACTTTAACACGCACTTGTAAACCTGCAGGGAAGCAAACACAAAGTACAATTCACTGAACCACTTTATCCTGGGTGTTTTCTATCATTTCCTCCCACCAGTTACCAAGACATGTGTTACTTACTTTACTTTTGCCAGAAAATAACATGAATGAATTTAAGTGTATGATCGTGTGGATGTTGGGACAGAGAACATCTGAAGTCAGCAGCTTCCTGTAGTTAACAGGCTGCTGTTTAGCATCTTAATTTTAGGTATTCCAATGAGTAGGAGAAACGAGTGGCTTTTAATTCTGCCTTGAAAAATCATTTTATATCTTTTATTATAACACAACCCAACAAAAGGAATCACAACAACCTCTTCAGAGATCCACACTAAAATATTCTAATTTCAAAACCCATCAACCATGCAATGGATTTGCCTTTTTAGAGACACTCACAACCGCTTGTTGATGTAGTGTTTTTGGTCACAACATTGCCTTAACTGATTCATCACATGAACGCCCTTCCTTAAGAAAATAAGCAGCATTAGCCTCGGCCACCAGTGGAGAGCGCGACATGGATAATCATTCAAAAGTGTTACTGACTCTGTTGTCTTTGCTAACAGCTGTTTACAATGATACAAAGACTTATGTGCACAGCCCAGCCTTTATAAGCGCAATCTGTTTACAACCAGCACTTGCATGCCCAGTGTAGGTGGTCAGGTGATCTGCCTTTTCAGGCGTGTTAGTATAGACAGGGTTTAAAACTGATACAGAGCCAAAAACGCTGTCATGAACTGAGGCAGCCTATTTACCCTCTGACCACTCGACGCAAACACCCCACATGCACTCACCTGCTCCCCCTTGTGCAGGGTCAGGTGGGACTTGAGCTGGAAGTAGGTCTTGAACTTGCTGGCGCAGAACTGGCACTGGTAGGAGCTGTCAATCACCACGATCTGTTTGGTCTGAGCTTGGCACTGTTGGCTCTGGTCGGACTGCGTGTGCATCTGAGCCTGAGTGTGCCCGTTGCGCGCCGCCTCCCCCCGGCAGCCCTCCGGATCGGCCCGGGCCTCAGGCTCGCTCTCCTCCAGATCCGCCGGAGCTTCTGTGAACAATCATCGTCTTTACATTGATCATCATTCCTCTAATGTGAACTGTGGGATCCTGCTGAGAAGCTCCACCACAGCTTTAGTTATGACCTCATCAATATAATGTTACACATCATATGATCTAACCGATGTTACCTGATTGTGCCGCCTCTTCCTCTTCTTGTGTTTGACACTGCGTCTGCTGCTGAGGCCCCTCCTCCTCCTGCTCATCTGGCTGCTGCTCCCCGCCCCTCTCCTCCTCACTGGACGACACCGGCACCACTTTCACTGTGACGGGTAACCTGGACACTGTGCTGGCCACGCCCATTGGCCACACCTGGAGGGTGAGGACGGCTTCGGTTACAGAGGAATCTCTAAGTGTTTTCTAAGACATGATAGTTTCATGTACACTAAACCAGAGACTGCTGCATATGTCAGTGACAATTCATTACATTTAAAATCTCTCACACACACACACACACACACACACACACACACTACTGCAGGTATTCTTTCAGGTGTTCAGAATTAGTGCGTGAGGTTAAAGAAACTGTAATGACGTGTGAACCTTGTGTGTCTGCATGTGTTTCTTCACGTTTGACTTTTGGGCGAAGGCTCGGCCGCAGACGATGCACTGGAAGGGTTTCTCTCCGGTGTGACTGTAAAAGGAAAATGATAATAAGTCACAGACGTCTGTTCTTAGATGGATACACTGCCCCCTGTTGGCCAGTAACTCACCTTCTGATGTGCTGCTGAAGGTCAAAGTTTTTCGAGAAGATTTTGTCGCAGAAGTTACATTTCAACTTCGGACCCTTTCCCTTCAGCTGCTCTACTGTGGGGGGACATTTATTGAGTGAATATGTATCCTGTGATCAGTATAATACTTTTCAAAAGCCAAGGTTTTTATATGCAGTATCAATGATGAATAACTTTAATGTATAAGTTTAAAACTAAACAATATTTGTCTTGAACAGATCTGACAGAAGTCAGAACAGAAAAAATGAAGAAGAAGAATTCATTATTCTGTTGGTGGAGGCTGTGACACTAGCAGCAGTGGATTTTATATTTTTAATTGAGATGCGTCAAGTCTCTAATTTATCTTTTTATAATTTATAAAATGTATAAAATTAGACGTATAGTATTTTGGCCAGATTGGAGAAAATAAGATTCTGAGATTTCAAGAATAAAGTCTAAATATTATGAGACCAAAGTTGTGTTTTAGAAAATTCTATCGTGATGCTTTTGTCTTTTGGTCAAATGTGAGTTTAGGCAACAGAACCTGTGAACAGCTTTGGTGCAGAAGAATCATTATCAGCAGGTTAATGCACTTTTAATCATTTTATTTCCTCACAGACCTGTTGCTCCGTCTGGGTTCTTCTTGCTGCTCCTGGGTCGTTTGGGAATGATGACCTTTTCAAAGTCGCCCAGCTCCGTCAGGTTGCTGGTGATGCTGCACGTCTTGGTTTTGGTGCACTGTTTCCCAGGGCTGTAGACGGGAGGGGTGGTGAATGACTGACTCTCCACACACTGACTGGGCACCTGGGGGATGGACGGGGACACACACACACACGTTGTACTATATTGCTTTTTCAACCAATTCTTTATTTTAATATTTGATTCCTGCAGAACCTTTGACTTTTGTCTTGTGCATAATAAGTACTATTCCGGGATGCACAGCAAACAGCAGACCTTACTCACTTGTACTGGATGGAAAGGCTGCAGACCCAGGGTGTGGATCTCTGCACCACCACCTCCGGCCATGTGAGGCAGTGTGCTGTACACCTGGACTACTGAGTTGCTGTGGCTCGCTGCAACTTGAGACGAGAGCGGCTGCTGGGCGGGTTGGCCGGCCGGGAGCGGGTGGGCCGGTGTTTGGCCAGGGGGGAGTGGGTGGGAGGACTGAGGCTGTTGCTGCTGCTGCTGCTGCTGCTGCTGCTGCTGCTGCTGCTGCTGCTGCTGCTGATGATGATGATGATGATGATGGTGGTGATGGTGCTGAAGGTAAGATACTCCAGCTGTGTGCATGCTCAGGTTACTCTGCCATGTGACATAAACAGATTTGAAAAGAGCTCAGCATTAGTGAATTATTTCATATTTATTCTATATTCAGAATCAAAATGGAAATTTTCAGTTAAATAAAAGTAGGGCTGTCCAACTTTGTGAAAGTCACTCTGCGACTATTGTGGACAATATTAAAACATGACACAAAGTGTATTTTGAG